TGCATAATTATATTTTATGCATTCAGTCCAAAGCTTGCTTTCAAAAGCACAAGAAAGCAAATAAGCAGTGAAGGGTTTTTCTGTTTGGTTTTCTTTATGAATTTATATTAACAGTTCTTTAATTTGTGCTTCCTTATGCCTGCCTTGTTAGATAGTTGTGTCATTGATTTTGAATCTGTTTGAGTATATAAAAGCAGTGTTGATTTTATACATCTGAAATTACTAACAGCTGATGTTTAAACCAAAGAAGTAAAACTGGAACAAACATTGATAAAACTTACCATTTTAAATACCCACCCCTGAATAGTTGTCACAAAACACAGATGGCCATTGGATGCCCCAAAGCATAATCCAGATTGCCAGAACAGCTGGCTGACAAACAGAGCTGCGGAATCAAGCCAAAGTACTGATTTTGATGTAATGCTTCATTTTGCCACTTTTTTTCTGTCAACCACTAAGGATCTCTTAACACAAGGAGGAGAATGAAGAGGGAAGTGAGATATATTACATGGTTTGGAAGGGCAAGATGAATACGATGACTTGAAAGCCATCAGGTTACAGCTCCATGAGGGAAATGGTTGTCTCAGGATTTCCTCATGTTTGTCCCAAACCTCATGGCCTAGCTTCCAAAGCTCACCGTCTTGCTCGTCATGGAACATGGTAGGCTCTGCCAAATAGAGTCAGCTCTGGAATTGAAACAGAATCAAAATTAATTTGCTCATGTTTCCAACTTGTAAATATATGGTTATACTCTTGATGCTAAGTCAATAATATTGCATAAAGAGGCTGAACATTTCCAACATTTCAGTTCTAATTTAACTAGGAAAAAATAATTTGTATGCCAGATGCTTGATTGTAATATCAGTAAATCTGCCTTAAATGTTCTGTTCTTTATTCATTTCATTTTTAAAGTTCAGGTGGGAAAATTAATTTTCCTTTCCTTTCCCTTCCCTTTCCTTCCCTTTATTATTCAAGGTAGAATAGTAGATTTCTACTGGCTAGCATTCTTGGTTTAGTTTACTGGTCTTCCCCATGTTGAAGTTTTCTGGCTACCTAGACTCCCAAAAAAAAAAAAAAAACCTGTAGTGGATGTTCCTTATGAAACACCTTCCCCTGAGATTTGGATAGTCCCTCCTTTCATTGCCTTCCAGAAGACTATTAAGAACTGACTCTAAGTGAGCCTAATATTTGTGTTTCTGAGAGGATGTGGGTAATAGCAATCAATGGTGTCCAAGAGATTTTTTAATCTTGTGTATTTCAGTGTACCTAATATCTATTAGCTAGTTTGTGTTACTTTATATAATATGGCCAGCCATATTTTTTTAAGTAAATGAATAAATAAACATGACGTCCCTTGGGTCATCATTAAAGTGTGGAAAGCACTGTAGAACACTGAAGAGATGATTATACACACTGAAATTGAAGATATTCATACACACTTGGCTACTTTGTAATTATGCTATTTTGAGACCATCACAGTTCATTTCATCAGTCATCAAAATTTTACTAAAAGTCTCTTCTCCTTTGAAAGATATGTTAAAAGTACATTCTTTTTCATCACATTGACTAAGAAATGATAGAGAAAGGTGTAGATTTTTCTCTATATGGATTCTAGAAGTATTTCATCTTGTTCTACGATCACACAGATAAGATTAAGATTGTCCTTTAAATTTTCAATGATTGTACATTTTTCTAGCTAGATTGTTCCAATTTTAATAGTTAGAAGGTAAATAAATAAATATACTATACTCCCAGTGATTCTGGGCAGTTAAAATATTTAAAAACAAAAAACAATACAAATATACAAAAACAGAACAAACATATTTTCTTTGTTACATTCTGCACAAACCTAACATAGATAATATTTGTGAGATTTTCTAGCTTGTTTATAAACCATCTCATTTTTGAGATTTCTTGGAAAAAAATACCTTTTCAGTTCTCTCGCCTGTTTTCCTACCAGAATGTCCAAAGTTATGGTGAATGGATTTATAGCTCTGATTTGCACCTTCATTGTTGTTGTTACTACTACTACTACTACTACTACTACTACTACTACTACTACTATATTATGGCATGCAAATTAGCTGTCCTTATTGGCTTGGTGAATCACAATATGTTTTTTTTAACCCCAAAATATATTATTGAGCCTCCTCACTTGCCCACATACCTTCCATATTGGTCTCTATTAACTTGATTTTGTTTTACTTCGTTTTGTTTCTGGGCAACTTGTAAGCAAGGCTACAGCCATTCACCATTTTATCTCTGCTGTTTATTGGAAGCTAATGATATTGTTCAAGATATAGGCACTTTCTGAAGCTGGTTTTCTGCAGCATACTCCCTTCTGTGATGGGTTGAAAAAATCCTAGGACACTATGACACCCAAGGATACAATTTTGGGACAGAGGACAAAAATTGTTTGATTTAGTCTTAGTTTACAATAATGTAGAGACTCATCCTAAGGAAAATATCAAATGCCATTATTGGGCAATTATTTTTTTCTCCAAGGGTAGAGAATTAGTTCCTGTTGCCAAGATGGCGCCGACAACGGCTGCCTCGGTGAAATGCTCTCTAATGATTTCTTTATTCCTTATTATTATCTGCAATTCACTGTGGATTTCATATTCACAAGACCATCTGCTAAGAATTAGGCAATGTTTCCTTAAGGAGCAGCTTTCTGATTCCCCACCCCCACCTGTCTTTGCAAACGTGGAGGAGATTCTAACCAATTCCCCGGTTCTTAACGAATGTACCTTTTCTTTATGTATACTGAGTATTTACACCAAGACAAATTCCTTGTGTGTCCAATCCCACTTGGCCAATAAAGTATTCTATTCTATTCTATTCTATTCTATTCTATTCTATTCTATTCTA